TTGTATAGGCTTTCTCCTGCGTCGGTGGTGGCTGGTCTTCTGCTGAGATGAGTTGAGCTGGTCCTCTGGGTTGAGGTGGTTCCGCGGGCTGATGAGTTGAATTCAATGCTGGGGCGGCTCATTTTTATGTCAAAATTTATCCCCTTTGGCTCCTCCTCACGAGGCGGAGCTACCTTTGATCTGGTTGTGTGTCGGTGGTGGGGGTTCGTGTGTCAGTGTGTATGTTTGTGTGTGTGTGTCATTTATGACATGGTTCTGTTCGGGTCTTCCTCAAGCCATAAACCATCAAGGGAAACAGACGCTTTGATTCGTCTCGAAGGCGCCTCTCGGTCTACGCTATCCATCCGGAGGGAGGGGCGGGTTCCCCCCCCCCCCCCCCCCCCTTGTACAAGTTTCCAACGCACAAAGAAACGGTTAAGTTTTTAAAGTTTAACATCTATCCCATCACAGTTGGTATCGTATCACTCACAGTTATGATTCTGCTTGTGATTCAGGGTATTTGATTTGATTTTCAAGTGAAGATGCTCTCTCTTGAGCGTATGCATATTCTTATCATGTGCTGCGGGGAGAGACAAAGGCGGCTGGGATCTCTCTCTCCGTTGCCCTCGGTTTAATGTTTATCAAATACCATTTGGTCTTATGTTCACCAAGGTTCGTGATTTGTAAGTCTGTCCTCCCGACGCACCTCTCGGGTTACCGAGATTCGCAATATGATGGAGTTATTATAAAGAACAATTATTTTTATCCTGAGTTTAAGAGGTCCGTTTCTTGATTGTCTGTGACATATCCCTCGGTTCTGTAAGGTTCTATAATGGAATATCGTTTAAGGTGAACATGTTATTATTAATGGTATGTATGCCACATATATTTTGTATTTTTCTTTAACTTAAAGCTTGCTCGCTGGCAGCTTTGGCTTTGGGGAGTGATCCCCCCCGCCCCCATCCTCCTTTGTTTCCGAAGGGTATCGTTGGGGGGTGAGTTTGTGTGTGGGGTGGGGTGTGTTTTCTCATTAAACCCGGCTGGCCCACTCCAGATGGCCCCTTGCGATAAGGTGTAATTCCTGCTTCTCCGCGCTGCGGGAAAGACAAAGGCGGTCGGGGTTCTTGGGATATTGTTTAAACTCGTTTCGTAAGTTTGCCCGTTCGCCTAATTTTTCCTCGAAAACCCTTGATGTGACTGTATTCCTGTCCCCAAGCTTGTGATTTAACAGTAGAAGTATTAAAGGTGAAAATCATTTGATATCGAATTAATAATTGGGTAATGATTCATTGATGTATCTGGTGGCCTGGTCTTAATTGGAGTGAGCGTGAGGATCGCTAATTTTAGCTTATTCCGGTTGTTGGGATTTGAACTTTAACGTTACCCCAATAGCAATGAAAGAAAAATTGGTTCAAGCGAGTGGCGCCAATATGTCTACCCTCCTGAGGGGCTCCCCTCTGGGTGACCCTTCCTTAGGGTCACATCCACACTTGTTCATCTCGACATTCCGCTGATAGCCATTAACATCCTTGCCTCGAGAGTTTATTATTCCTTTATTTATTTATGGCTTTGTTTATGATCGACATCTGGTTTTCCTGTATGACTGGCTTACGTGTTTTTATTAATTATTTTTGTCACAAAAAAATCTATATGTATCTATCGGTACATATTCTTATGGATATTAATTGTGGAAAAAGGGCCGTATACAACAACTGTTTGGTCTGATCAATTAATGCTGTTGAATCAGAAATGATTTTGTTGGTTTTGGTAACCAGGCTGTTGGTGGTGTCTCTTCTTGTATAGCTGCCATCGTTGAGTAGTTCCTGAATTTTGTTGTTATATTCTATTTTGTCCATGATGAAAGTGGCATTGCCCTTGTCGGGTGAGAGGATGACAATGTCATCTCTCTTTTTAAATTGAGATAATTCAAAGCGCTCATCTTTGCTGATGTTGCTAGGTGGCATCTTAGCATTTTTTAGGGTTGCAGCGACTTCAGATCTTGCTACGTCTGCAGCGATGTGACCCAGGCCCTTGAGTGCAATGTCGACATGGGCAATGATATAATTAGCTGGTATGTTTCGGTGTGACAACAAAGTTTAGCCCTTTAGCTAAAACGGATTTCAGACCATCAGAAATATAACTGTTACTGCGATTAATTACGACTTTGTTAACGTCTAGCTTTTCGGTGTGTGGGTCCGATTTCTTGTTGGAAAGGCGGTTGAATTTGGAAATCAAATTTACAAACTAAAGTGCCTCTGTGGTAGCAGCTACATTGGAGAAACCAAACGACATATCTCGGACCGCATCTGCAAGCCATCCGGCTACCATGAGAGATTCGTTCATGAGGCCATCCACATATACAAGCACAGAGACAATTTCAACCGAGAAGATGGATTTTGGCTTAGCAACCATTGGAAAGATGTTTAAAACCATTTCGGTTCTTAATTGATCTTATTTTACGGTGACCTTCAGACCGCAGCCCTTTCGCTGGCATTGCCTCTTAATACCTCTCACACCATGGTTAATGATGTGGTTTATAACATGTAGTATAATTATTAATAGTATAACATTGTAATCTTTAACATAACTCAGGCAATATATAGCATCGTAATTGCATAGTGAATATACAGTAGTGTGGTATATAGTTGGGTTCATAGAATAAGACATAGTGTAATGTTACAAGTCTAATATTTTATAGTCTAAAGTATAGGGTAGTGTAAAGTAACGCATTGTATAATTCAAAGGTGGAATTTGTTTATGTTATACCATGTAGTTTAGATTGGAGGGTATAATATTGCATTATATAGTAGTCCAGTTTATAGCATAGTCATAATGCAACTCAGGACACAGCAGCGCACCTTGGCTGTTTCTCTTGTTTTTCTTTTGTGTTTTTTCTCTCTTTTTCCCCTTGTTGTCTGTGTTTCCAGCCCCCTCCCTCCTCCGCTCCGGAGGTGGGGCTGGTAACATGATAATTCAACCCCCCCCCCCCCCCACACACACAGCTTTAAAAAGACTCGGTCCTTGCTTGACAGCGTTCATTCAAGCTCTGTCTTCTGGATAGACCTGTTTCTTTTATTTTTTTATTTTTTTATTATTTTACTTCCATTCTACGCGACTTTACCGAAAGAACCAAAAAGTTGAATCCCTGCAGTCACGAAATCTTTAAATCGAAATTGCGTGTAGTGTATAGTGTAGTGTATAGTGTAGTGTATAGTGTAGTAGTGTATAGTGTAGTGTATAGTGTAGTGAATAGTGTAGTAGTGTATAGTGTAGTAGTGTATAATATAGTGTATAGTAGTGTATAGTCGTGCATAGTGTAGTGTATAGTGTAGTAGTGTATAGTAGTGTATAGTGTAGTGTATAGTAGTGTATAGTGTAATGCATAGTGTAGTAGTGCATAGTGTAGAAGTGTATAGTGTAGTAGTGTAGTAGTGTATAGTGTAGTGTATAGTGTATAGTGTAGAAGTGTATAGTGTAGTAGTGTATAGTGTAGTGTATATCAGTGTATAGTGTAGTGGTATAGTGTAGTGTATAGTGTAGTAATGTATAGTGTAGTCTACGGTGTAGTGTATAGTGTAGTAGTGTATAGTGTAGTGTATAGTGTAGTGAATAGTGTAGTGTAGTAGTGTATAGTGTAGTAGTGTATAGTGTATAGTCGTGCATAGTGTAGTGTATAGTGTAGTAGTGTATAGTGCAGTCGTGTATAGTAGTGTATAGTAGTGTATAGTGTAGTGTATAGTGTAGTAGTGTAAAGTATAGAAGTGTATAGTGTAGTGTATAGTGTAGTAGTGTATAGTGCAGTTGTGTATAGTAGTGTATAGTGTAGTGTGTAGTGTAGTGTATAGTGTAGTAGTGTATAGTGCAGTAGTGTATAGTAGTGTATAGTGTAGTGTATAGTAGTGTATAGTGTAGTAGTGTATAGTGTAGTGTATAGTGTAGTAGTGTATAGTGTAGTGTATAGTGTTGTGTATAGTGTAGTGTATAGTGTAGTGTATAGTGTATTGTATAGTGTAGTGTATAGTAGTGTATAGTGTAGTGTATAGCAGTGTATAGTGTAGTGGTATAGTGTAGTGTATAGTGTAGTAATGTATAGTGTAGTGTACGGTGTAGTGTATAGTGTAGTGTATAGTGTAGTGTCTAGTGTAGTAGTGTATAGTGTAGTGTATAGTAGTGTATAGTAGCGTAGTGTATAGTGTAGTGTATAGTAGTGTAGTGTATAGTAGTGTAGTGTATAGTAGTGTATAGTGTAGTGTATAGTGTAGTGTAGTGTGTAGTCTATAGTGAAGTGTATAGTGTAGTGTATAATGTATAGTGTAGTGTATTGTAGTGTACAGTCTAGTGTAGTGTATAGTAGTGTACAGTGGTGTATAGTGTAGTGTATAGTGTAGTCTATAGTGCAGTGTATAGTGTAGTGTATAGTGAAGTGTATATTCTAGTGTATAGTAGTGTAGTGCATAGTGTAGTAGTGTATAGTGTAGTGTATAGTAGTGTAGTGTATAGTGTAGTGTATAGTGTAGTGTATAGTAGTGTAGTATTAGATTTGAAGCTTTCGTAACTGCAAGGATTCATACTCTTTGGTTTTATTCGGTAAAGTCACGTAGATTAAATAACACAAAATAAAAGAAAACAATTAAATCACGACGTTTCGGAGGCAACACCAGCTTCCGTCTTCAGGTGGAATAGTCACAGAAGAATATCTGTGTCAAGTACACAGCTCTGAGACGATCGGGTTTATATCTGGGTTGGGGGGGGGAGGAACCAGAAAGGAAAGTGGGTGGGAGGGCTGAGTTCAGCCGTTTTTTGAAAACGATGATGGCGATGATGGTGGAAGTGATGACTATGGTGACTATGATGGTGGTGGTGTTGCTGGTGGTAATGATGACAGTGGTGATGATGATGGGGTGAAGATGGTGGTGATGGTGTTGGTGGTGTTGATGGTAGTGATGATGGTGATGATGATGGGGTGATGATGACAGTTATGATGATGGGGTGATGATGGTGGTGATGGTGTTGATGGTGTTGATGGTTGTGATGATGATGGGGTGATGATGACAGTGGTGATGATGGGGTGATGATGGTGATGATGGTGAATCGCAGGGATGAGGAGGCGTGGTGACGCAAGCGCGCACTGCAGGCGAAGGAGCGGCCACACGAACCTGCGATTTGTACTGCACCAGCGACATCGCTCACGCACGCCAACCTGAACCTCACCCTCCCCCCTCACCCTACTCCTCCATGCTCACCTGTCACCTTCCCCTCCATTCTTCCCTCACCATCACCTTACCTCACACTCTGTTCCACCTTCCCATCACCCTCACCTCACCCTCTCCTCACCATCCCCCTCTGCTCCGTTTATTGGGTTTCTGTCTCGGTTTCTTGGGTTTCTATCTCTCCTCATCCTCAGGATGCACGTCTCAGATCCACGATCTTCAATGGATCATTACAATACCCCACCCACATCGCAGGGTAGAGAGGCTGCGAGAATCTCTGCCAAACCTCGTGGATTACCTCCATGGAGTCGGCGCGGTAAAACGCCAGGAGCCCCCCCTCCCAGTGCAGGTGAAGCCCGATTCTGCGGGGGCAGGGGGCCCCCATCACCGACAGTGCAGTCTTCACTCCACCATGAAGCACTGAGAAGTTGTCGTAACATTTCTCTAAACACCAGGACGCGTCGCTCCCTCCCAGCAGCCGTGCAGCACCACTCCCTTTCCGTGGGATCGTCCCGTACGCGACTCCAACCCGACACAACCGCGCGTCCCCCACGTCCACCTCCCAGTATTGGTGGCCCGACGAAAAGCTCTCACGGCACAGGGCTTGTGGAAAGCACTCAAACTGTTGTGGGTGATGAGGGTGACCATGGGAGGCACCGGTTCGCGTCATTGTCCTGAGATCTGAGGAAATCTGGAGTTCGTTATGAGCTGAGTTTGTGTCCAGAGTTGGTGAGCGTCCGTCTGTGACAACAGCGATGACAACATCGCTACAGAACACCGTCATCATCACCATCCACCATCACCACCATCACCACCATCAACATTACCATCACCAACCATCATCTTCACCATCAACAATACAATCACAAACATCACCATCACCAACCATCCTCGCTATCTATATCATTAATGACAACAACATAAACATCACCATCACCACCATCATCAACACTGAATATAAACATCACTACCGCAATAAGCAACATCACAACCATCATAACCACCACTAGCACCATCCACCATCACTACCACCCCCCCCCCCCCCCCCCGACCATCACCACTATTTCCATCACCACTATCCCCATTACCACCATCTTCATCACTATCACCAACATCACCAACACGATCAGCATCATAACCATCACAACGACCATCAACACCATCATCACCACCATCACTACCATGACCACCTTAACCAATATCATCATCACTACTACCATCAGCGCCATCAGCAAAACCATTACCAGCTATATTATCACCAATGTCACCATTGCTGCCATCACGACGACCATCCCTGCCATCACCACGACCAACACTGTCACCACGACCAACACCATCACCAATCCCATCACCATTCCCATCACTCACATCACTAACATCAACATCATTACCACCATCCTCATCACGACCACTATCACCATCATTATGATCATTACCAGCAACAGGAACTCATTTGAGGTTGAAACTACCTAGCAGAGGCCCAGGACTGGATCAGATATCACTTGCCACTGATGTTAGCAATGGCGGGTAATTATAATCATACACGGGTAACTGCGTTCGTAGTTCAGTGTGCTATAGACTATGCCACCGCTCCCCCCATGCACAAATGCACAGACATTCGCAGGCACACACTCCAGCTCAACATCACAATTACCTCTGACTCGTAATGATGATTATTTACACAAGAACACCACACTGAGTCTCGTGGCTCTGTTCAGTAGGGTCCTGGAATGGGATGTGAACAAAACAATAGTCTGTGTAGCCTTTACAGACTATTGGGACAAATGCTGTCCGTGAGAGTCTATGTAGGCTGGCATGGCACACGAGGTGGGTGGCCAGTACCACGCCCGACCACCTTTGTCTCCCTAGTGGTGATTTTGTTTACACACCAGGTCTCAGGATGTAAACAAAGACATCCCCCGTGTTGCCTTTACAGACTGTTGGGGCAAATCAGCACCGTTGAAGGCTGGCACGGAAAACGAGGGGGTGGGTGGCCAGCACTACGCCTGGTCGCATTTGTCTCCCTAGTGATGATGTTTATAAAACACCAGGTACACACACGGGGATCATTTATTGTCAAGATAGTCCCATCACCCATGATTCACACTGAATAACTTACACAGGAGTTTGACTCTCCTTGTCTCCAGGACTTTAAGTGAGGCAATGTCCTCTTGGTTGGGAGATGAGGGTGGAGCTGCTGTAACCCTCCCTGCCCTGTGAAAGCAGAACAAACACGGCTACTGTCTCACGCAGAGCATCGTCACTCACAGGATCATCACCGCTCCATCACACAGGCACTCATCAAACAAAGCATCATCACTCATCTCACAATTACAGCATCACCCCGCAGAATTACTATTACCACACACAGCATAACCACACACAGTATCAACATAGCATCATCACACAGCATCATCACCACACAGCATCACCACATAGCATCACAACACACCATAACTACTCAACACACAACATCACCACCACACAGCATCACCACACACACCATCACCACACACAGCATCACAACACATAGCATAACCACTCAACACACAGCATCATCACCACACAGCATTACTATCACCACACATAGCATCATCACGTACAGCACCATCACACATAGCACCCTAACACACAGCATCACCACACACATGTTCACCACACACAGCATCCCCACACAGCCAATGTCTCACTGCCCGCACCCGACACTCAGTCCCATGTTGTCGTGTGTCGAGTCGTGAGTGAAAGTCGTCTTTTACCTGCACGTCTCCTCCAGGTGCCCCTATGGAAGAGAGAGATACGTTACTGTGACTCTACCTCCAATCCCTTGTGATGAGTGGAGTTCCCACTGCAACACCGTGGGTGGAATATAAACCCCAAAGTCTCAGCTTATGACCCCATGATCACCAACACTGATTTACGAGGCAAATATTTCAGAGTGAGACCGGTTGATAGTCAACTATAAACTACTATTTGTGTTTTTCCACGTAAGTCCCACAAAGCGATGTAGCTCTTTTTCAGAAGCGACCTGGCCACAACTGATAGCTGAACGAAGTGGTTCATCACTTGGACATTTGTAGCAGCCCAATGCTCTAGACGCACGTTTCCAAATGTGAAGCCAAATTTTCGAGGACTCGGAGAAAAATCCATGCGACCATGGAAAGAGACACGAAAACTCCAAATGTATATGGACGTCAGGGTTGGGATCAAATCCCCGACCTTCGGTATACCAGGCGAGGTAGTTAACATCTCGCAGCCCCCATGAGGACCAACATGAATTTGCAGGGCAAATATTTCAGAGTAAGACCGGTTGATATTAATCAGTGTTGAGATTAATTTCTGTCAATGCACACGTGGCAGGTCTTACAGAAGTGGCGGTGAATACACAATGATATCATTAATACACGTATGAGAAATCGTATTTATTTAAGTTTCCATAATATGAACAATGAAGGTAGCGCATCCAAGAGGAGGTACACAAAGTAGGAAGCACAGATGAAATCAGCTCGTGAGCAGGCGCTGGTGGATTGTTGCATCGCGGCATCATGAGATGTGGCAATGGCTTGGGGAGGCCTTCATCCATTAGTGGATAGATCATGGCTGATGATAATCATGAATACCGTGTACATTGTTGTTGCTGTTGTTGTAGGGTTTATTAAAAAAGTGCAATTCCAATAACATTTAGATTATAATCACAATGAAACCAACTTAATGGAAATCTGTTAAAGGACGAGAGAGATAATTCATTTCACTGAGAAAATATGAGCTGGCCTTCAAAATGGCAGCCACTGGAGCTGCGATGCGAGTCCATGAGTGGAGCTGTGTTCTCAAGCCCAGTGGAAGTGAGCTCTCATTCAGGAGCCTCCCTCTGCTGCTGGTGAGAGGGCTCTGTGCCAATAGCGACAGTGGAGACTCATCGCTCACCTGCAGGAACGCGAGCGAGTCCCTCTCCTGCGCTAGGGCCTGCAGGCGTGTAGCTGCTGCCTGGAGCTCGCTAATCTCGTGCTGGTAGCGAGCGATCTTCTTCTCGATCTGGGTCAGCAGCTCGCGCCCTTTCTGCTCCGCTTGCTCTAAAGCCGCCTTCTCCTCTGCATCCAACGCTGCTCTCGCGTGGGTGAATCTGACCGAGATTGAGGCCTTTTCATCTGTCATGGATCCCTGCAAAGAGAAAGAAATGCCACCTTTGTTCATTGAATGTCTGGTCTATTGTGAAATGACATTCAGGTCGGTGTGACCCGAGTGCAACTGTGGACTGTGAAGGTTTCCAAACAGTGATACGAGTTTGCAGCACTGAGGCCTCCTTCTTCCTCTCCCTCTGATAACGCCGCTGTGCATTTTCACTACAACACGATTCGCCATAACTGGCGGGAGCTGTGAGGCAATGAAATCATCAAATACCATCATGAGTACATTTAGCATCCATGCCATTCTCATTGATCAAGGCTATTTGGAGGATGCTTAGTTTTCCTTCACATGAAGCGAAGGGAAATCTGTAATTCGCCTTCAACAATGTGAGCCTTAATGAATTGAGAATTGAAGCTTTCGTGACTGCAGGAATATCATACTCTTTGGTTCTTTTGGTAAAGTCACGTAGGTAGAAATAAAAGAAAAATGAAACAAATCACGACGTTTCGACTGCAACACAAGCAGCCGTCATCGGGTGATAATCAAACAGAGAGGGACCACACAGAGGGACACCACGCAAAGAGACATACACACATGGAGATACAGGGACACACAGAGGCAAGCCGTGTGTGCGAGAGAGCGAAACACGTACACTGAGGGGGGGAACATCGGCTGTAGAAAAGGGGGGAAGGGGGCAGGGAAAAGTAATAGACATGTACATAGATGAAGAAGACGTTGGTAAAGCACACCGAGAACGACAAACTGCAAGGAGGCAAAGACAGCAAGAAGATTGGAGATGTGAACTTAGCCAAACTTAGAAATATAATGCGATGCAACCCAGAGTCGGCCAACAACACAGTTAAACACTAAAACTGGTTTATCACATATTTCAAAAGATTGCAAAAATTGCATCTATCTTCTAGGTTGAACATGCCAATGCACATAGAGGACAAGGACTCGTGAATCACACAGCGAGGGAACACACAGAGGGACACCACATGAGACATAGGACACACAGAGGCAAGCTGTGTGTCTGAGAGAGCGAACACGTATACTGAGGGGGGGGGGGGGCGGGTGACTTATATAGGCTGTAGAGATGGAGGAAAGAGAAGGGGGCAGGGAAAAGTAATAGACACAAACATACCAATGTACATAGAGGAGGACATTGGCAAGACCCACCGAGAACGACAAACTGCAAGGAGGACCAATGTACATAGAGGACAAGGACTCGTGAATAGACATTCAAGGAAAACCTCTCCGTAGAAGTGGATTAATCTAGAATTGAAGCTTTCGTGACTGCAGGAATATCGTACTCTTTGGTTATTTCGGTAAAGTCACGTAGATAGAAATAAAATAAAACAAATCACAACACAAGCAGCCGTCATCAGGTGAGAATCACACAGAGGGACACCACACAAAGAGGCACAAAGAGACATACACACAACCTAGAAGATGGATGAAATTTATTTTTAGCAATCTGTTGAAATACGTCATCAACCAGTTTTAGTGTTTGACTGTGGTGTTGACCGACTCTGGGTTGCATCGCATTATATTTCTAAGTTTGGCTAGGTTCGCATCTCCCATCTTCTTGCTGTCTTTACCTCCTTGCAGTTTGTCATTCTCGGTGTCCTTTAGCAACGTCCTCTTCCTCTATGTACATGTCTATGACTTTTCCCTGCCCCCTTCCCCCCTTCTCTACAGCCTATATAAGTTCCCACCCTCAGTGTACGTGTTTCGCTCTCTCGCACACACGGCTTGTCTCTGTGTGTCCCTGTATCTCCATGTGTGTATGTCTCTGTGTGTGGCGTCCCTCTGTGTGTTCCCTCTCTGTGATTCTCACCAGATCACGGCTGCTTGTGTTGCAGTCGAAACGTCGTGATTTGTTTTATTTCTATTTTATTTCTACCTACGTGATTTTACCGAAAGAACCAAAGAGTATCATTGGGAATTTAGGCTAATTCTTCTTTAAATTAATGTTTTGCATGTTAGTGAAAACCACGTAAGTTTGGATGAAAAGAGAGGATCATGAAACCACTTGCTATACTGCCACCTGGCCACCCTAAAGCCTGATTGGTTTCAGTAAGATGGTGTACAACAGTCTGTGTGGGATCCACCAACTCTGCCACCAGAGTATTGGATAAGAGGTACGTTGTATGGAGATATGGGAATGTGGAATTTCCACCACTGCTTCAGTTTCTCAGTGGAGATGAGAACAACCTCCTTGTGGGTCCTGATTATTGAGGCGTATTGACCGTTGTTTCTTTAGTCCCACAATGTGTTTAGAGTCAATGGAAGTCCATGTGAATGAATGGAGTTGTCCTCCATCACAAACCCTACTCAGGGTGGAGTCACGGGTCACTGAGTCCGGCCCAGACACGGTACCTGCACGTCCCTGCGAGCGGCCTCCATCTGCCTCACGGACTCCTCCGCCTCCCTCCTCTTCTCCTCCACCGCCCGCGTCTCCTCTCCCACTTGTTTCTGTGAGAGACGTCACCAGGGGAGACTCCACTCACTCTCTGAGCATCCCCTCCCAACTCCGCTCCACGTGAACCCCTCCACATTGACGGCGGCAGTAGCCCCGGTACAGCGATGGGGGCTGGGGGAGCAAGCGCTGCAGGGAACTAATTTCACGAGGAGCTCAGACGTGTGGAGGGCTTCCTAAGTTGTGGGTGGAGCTACCTAAGCAGTGGGCAGAGCTACCTAAGTAGTGGGTGGGATTACCTGAGTCGTGGGTGGGTATACCTGAGCAGTGGGCGGAGCTACCTAAGTAGTAGGTGTGGCTACCTGAGTAGTGAGTGGAGCTACCTAGGCAGTGGGTGGGGCTACCTAAGTAGTGGGTGGAGCTACCTGCGAAGTGGGTGGGGCTACCTGAGCAGTGGGCAGGGCTACCTGAGCAGTGGGCAGGGCTACTGGAGTAGTGGGTAGGGCTACCTGAGTAATGAGCGGGGCTTTCTGAGTCGTGGGCGAGGCTATCTGAGGAGTGGGTGGACAAGGCACCAGAACGGTGAAATGTCATCTGCCTTGCCTGCGAAACAGGAGGTCGTGGGTTCGATCCCAGCCCTGATGCCTGTGTAGTGTAGCAGAATGACACTACTGTATTGGCTCGGTATGGGGGCTGTAGGCAGGTGTCACGGGAGTCGTGTCGGGCCGTGACACTCTGCATGAACCCAACAGGACACGTGACCAGATAAAGGGGGGCCAGGGGCCCCAGGGGAGTCACGTGATTGGGCTTCGGGCCTTCCTGAAGGATCGGGAAGGGGGGCATGGCCTGGGGCGGAGCCGGCCATGCCGGAGTGGTTATAAGCGGGGAGTGGACGGAGAGCTGTGCTGTTCTGCTTTGCTGCTGGGTCATCTCTGGGATGAAGCTCTCCGGTCTCGGCTAGTGGACCAGGCAGCATGTTGGGCTGTCCTGGTCCAGTAATGTAGTATCTCCGTGTGTTAGTTAAGTTAGGAAAGGTGGCTATTTTTGTATATGTTGGTTGTGAAAATTTTGATGAAAATAATAAAAAATAAATGAAATTTGGAATTAGCGTAATTATCCAAAATTATGTTAAATGATGTAATAATGTGCATAAAGCATGCTAATTTATGCGAGTGCATATGGTTATGATAATGGCAGCCATTATGATAATTAGGCCCCGCCTCGCTGACGAGGGTCGGATTATCAATCATACAATTAATCATATGAAGTTATGCCAGTGTGATGCAAGTATGCCAGCGTAAGCTCGGCTTCGATTTCCTAGGTTCGTTCTAACACTCGGTAATACAATTAGTTGAGCTTTAACATTTACTGAGTATGTGTTAGTGTGTTTATGTCAGGTCTCCAAATTCAAATCTCAACGCAGAATACAGTTCTTATAAATAAGATTCTTATGCTTGAACTCAGGAAAGAAACACCCAGACACTTTTGTGCTAAGCAATTTTAATTTCTAAACCAAACCTTAACTCTATGATATGAATTATTATACTTGAAATTGTCAACACAGTACTACAGGCGATGTTCATTTCATTGATCCATCTCTTAAACCCTTAATAATCACGTTGTTAATTGGGTAACGGAACAATTGATTACTTCCTCTGGGTACCACGAGCATATGGAAAATATGAATAAAAAGTCTTAAAAAATTCATACGACGATATTCATGCGAAAAAGGCAGTCAAAACAATGATTATTCCTCGAAGGCAAAAGTATACGTCAATGGATTCATCGGTAAGATTATGCCATTAAAAAGAAAACAAAAAAACAAACGACTGAGATACTTAATAATGACCTTATCCACGTAACTCAATGGGTAGCAATGTTCTTCACGATCAGTTGATATTTTAATGCCCTTTATAATTAGTCTTAATATTGTGTGGCTGCGGTGGATTGTCTCTTTGGTAAATTCTTGTATGAGCAGACGACACAAGCGTCATGGGTTTGTGAAAGTGGGGGAGGGGTATACGAACAACGGCTGGTTCCCTCTATTGCTCGGCGTTGGACATTGACTGATGGTTCTCTCCACCGCTGGATGATGAGCTGCGCCGCATGCACTCTCTCCGTGGAGATGCGCATGATCACGCTCGCTGCTGGTTCGCTGGCAGCAGCAGTCTCCTCCTTCCACTGCTGTAGTAGCTGCGCCACACGCGCTCTCTCTGTGGAGATGCTCGAACGCGCTCTTCGCTGGTTCGCTGACTCTTTGCTGGATGAGCCAAGTCGGCACAATGCTTGGTGGTGGTTGCGCTGCAGCTGGGAGCTGGCACTCGATGTAGAATAAAAGTCTTTTAGCGATACTTCGTCTTTCAGCTCTGAACTCACACTTGGTGGCACATCGCTACTCTGCCAGCCTCGCCATTCTCGGTTGATCGCGGGGCCCCTTGGAGCCTGCCGCTCGCCGCCCTCTTCTGGCGCTTGCCGAGCTGTTGTCCTGTTGAACTGTCGACAGCGCTATTGTGCGTGTCGTGCTGCTGTTTTATCCGAAAAATCTCCCCCCTCTGCGCGTCTCTTGCGAGAGGAAAAAAAAACAGATGCTCACTCTGCGTTGTGGGGGCGGGGGGTAGTCTGTGTGTGCATCATTAAGTCCAGCGCCTCCGTGTCTACAGATGGCCCCCGCGATAATAAATTTCCCTCGCTCTGGTGTTAAAATCCTGCTCTCCTGCGCTGCGGGAAGACAAAGGCGGCCGAGAGGCTCTCTCTCTCTGGCTGGCTCTCGGTTTAACCCTGCATCATTATCATTATCTGTTAATTAAAAATAATCGAATCCTGTCTGTCCGGTTTTTCGCCGTCCTGGAACCTGTTCGGCAACAGAAATTCCTTCCCGCCCCCTTCCTCCTTTTGATCTCGAAGGGTGTTACATTCTGGCTCTCCCGCACTACGGGAAGACAAAGACGGCTAGGAGGCTCCTTCCTATGGAACACAGTCTATCTTGGCTGTGTAAGCCCGTCCCGTTCCGCCTCATTCCTTCTCGATAACCTTTGATGTAACACTGCATTTTCTGTCCCCAAGATTGGTGATTTAACAGTTCATCATTAGATGTTACCTCCGATATTCCAAGGGTTTTATGCTTTTGCTCCCTGTCTGCATACATACACGATGTCGACCTATTTACTAAGTTCTAAACCTTAACCGTCGTATTAATAGCAAAGAAGGGTAATATGTTTAAATCTCTCGTGTGTGTGGCGTCACTCTGTCTGCAGGCTGATGGAGGGCGGGGGGGGGTCCCTGAAGCTTGGAATTCCCCCTTCCCTTTGGTGACCCCGGGCGGCTGTGTTACATCAAATAGGTTTGTTTGTGAATTGTCCTTTGGCAATCTGGACATTTTGCAGATATTCGCTAACCTCCCTTAGCCTCGGAGTTTCCTATTTTTTAAATTTTTAATGGCATTTTACGATCTCCAGCTGATGTTTGCTGGTCCTTGTCGTAGCGGGTGATATTTATTCATTTATTAAAAAAAAAATACCGGCAAGTATTATTATTAATATCAATTTTGGAAAAGGCCTATAGATACAACACTACCACCTTAAGTCGTTATGTTAAGTATTAATTGTTATGTTACCCAATAAATAGTGTTGCCTCCAAAGTTCCAGTGTACACCTGAATTTAACCCACTACACCAGTATACAGTCGACCCTTCTACCTCGTGGGGGTTAGGGACGCAGCCCCCCCCCTGATCTGGAAAAAAACGCGTAAAATGTTTTGGTCCCCTTGGTGAGCAAATCGGTACAAAAAGACACGAGAAACGCGAGATACAAAGATCACTGCGAGATCACTGCGAGATATCAAGTGAGAGGCTGCCGTAAACACGCTTGGCGTCCTCCAAACCAGCGCATAGAACCACAGTTGTTTTCGTAAACTAACTTTAAACAAAATTTAACTTGAAAAGGAATTGTGTATTTATGGTCTGTGTGTCCCACGCGTGACGTCACTCCACATGAGGTCAACTCCCCTCATTAATATTCATGAACAGGTGGGGTCCTCCACATGGACTCCCCCCACCTCATTAATTATCATGAACGGGTGACGTCACTCCACATGCTGCACCCCTCCCCTCATTAATAACCATGAGAGGGTTATGTCACTCCACATGGGGCAACCCCCCCCCCCCCTCATTAATAATCATGAGCTGAACAATTTTTCTATTGAATATTTCAGATTTACTGCAATAATCACCCATCATTGGACGGACAAACAAGCTAGTTAAAATATAAAATACATTAATATTATACAGTACTGTACATATATTTAATGCATTTATGAGTTACTAAACTTTTTGTGTGTCATCTGCTGGCCTTTGCGTGTCGTCTGTGGCTTTCGCAAAGCTCCCCAAAAATGCCCATTTCATTTCTTATGCCGACCCCGGGATCTATCGAAACCGCGATGGGGAAAGTCGCGATGCAGAAGGGTCGACTGTACTATGAATCTACCCTTCAAACACTCGTTTGAAAAATAAATTTACGGGCATATAAAATATTTAATCCAATTTAAAATGAGTCTGAGCCACTCGCTGTGGTTTCGTTATAATTAGATGTTGCTGTTGAGAGCCAATGACAGAGTTCATCAGCTGATGCTGTGGTATCGTGGGTACTACTCAATGACCATGAGAACCTCCTCCTCACCTTTCGTTTGTCGTGCTCCACCTTCAGAGTGACGAGCTCGTGCCCTCGATGATCCACAGTGATGGTGCAGTCCCTGCAGACGAGGCGTCCGTCGTTAACGCAGTAGAAGTGGTACTCGTCACCGTGCTCCACGCACCGTTGATTCTCCAGGTTCACACCGGGCGACACCAGGACGTGGTCACGAAACTTTGCCAACTGCCGGTGGGGCGCGACGTGGGCCATACAGAACGACGTCTCACACTTGAGGCAAATCTTCACTGCGGGCTTCCTGCAATGATCGCAGCAAACAGCAGAAGCAGCGGCATCGGCAGCCATGGGCTCAGCCACTCGCAGCTGCTCGATGAGGTTGGTGAGCGTCACGCTCTTGTTCAGCTTGGGCCTCCGAGGGAAGGTCACTCGGCACTGTGGGCAGGAGAAGTACTCGGCCGCATCCCAGGCGCCCTCCACGCACTCGAGGCAGAACGAGTGGCCGCAGCTGAGCGTGCAGGGGCAGCGGAAGGCGTCCAGGCAGATGGGGCAGGTCAACTCACCTGGAGCCTCCTTACTACTGGAAGTTGCACTCGCCATGGCCCTGTGGCTCCGCTCAGAGACGGGCGCTGGCTGTAGCTCAGGGAGTCGCTGACTGTAGCTCAGGCAGTCGCTGGCTGTAGCTCAGGAAGTCGCTGGCTGCAGCTCAAGCAGTCGCTTGATGTAGCACAGACAGTCTCTGGCTATAGAACAGCCTCTGTCTGTATCTCAAGCAGTCTCTATATCTCCGGCAGTCTCTGTCTGTATCTCAGCCAGTCTCTGTCTGTTTCTCAGACAGTCTCTGTTTGTAGCTCAGACAGTCTCTGTATCTCAAGCAGTCTCTGTTTCTCATGCAGTCGCTGGCTGCGTCTGAGACGCTAAACGAGGAACAAGCCACATAAATAGGTGACAAGGAAGCAGGAAGTCTTTCAGTTTGATTTGCATATCACTAGACGTGCCCTGGAATGTGTTGACGCGTGAGCGAGTACAAATCAAACTAAAAGACTTCCTGCTTCCTTGTCACCTATTTACGTGGCTTGTTCCTCGTTTAGCGTCTCAGACGTAGCCAGCGACTGCCTGAGAAACAGACAGAGATTGCCTGAGATACAGATACTGTCTGAGCTACAGACAGAGACAGTCTGAGAAACAGACAGAGGCTGCCTAAGCTACAGCCAGAGACTGCCTGAGCTACAGAGACTGCCTGAGATACAGACAGAGACTGTCTGAGATACAGACAGAGACTGCCTGAGCTATAGAGACTACCTGAGATACAGACAGAGACTGTTCTATAGCCAGAGACTGTCTGTGCTACATCAAGCGACTGCCTGAGCTGCAGCCAGCGATTTCCTGAGCTACAGCCAGAGACTGCCTGAGCTGCAACCAGCGACTGCTTGAGCTCCAGCCAGAGACTGCCTAAGCTACAGCCAGCGACTGCCTGAGCTACAGCCAGCGCCCGTCTCTGAGTGGAGCCACAGGGCCATGGCGAGTGCAACTTCCAGTATTAGGGAGGCTCCAGGTGAGTTGACCTGCCCCATTTGCCTGGACGCCTTCCGCTGCCCTTGCACGCTCAGCTGCGGCCAAAACAGGAGTTGTGTTAAGATACTCAAACACCAAACAAAAACTATTGCAAGGAATAATGTCTCCATTAACCACACAGTACTTGTATTGAAGATCGCGTAGATATATGAATTTGTTGTTAAAACCCACCACCACCCAACACAGCCAACTAATAAGGGTTGTAACGTAAACAGAACGTGCCAATTCGTCGCTAGTACAGCACACTGGCGTGTTGGAGAGTCAAGCCACAACATTTACAATCTGAGTACGACGTTTTGCCAGTAATTACAACTTGCTTCATCAGGCGACAGCCAGATTTGTAGAGAAGTCTAACTGTTTCGTTCCTTATATAGAGGCGTAGATGTGGTGACCACATTTCTGCGCTCTTGCGCAAAGTTGGGAGGGGGATGAATGAGTCAGCGTAAGCTCACGTGCCACACTGTTGGATGGCTTCAGGAGAATCACCGCATCTGGGTCGGCTGAATGCAACCGCTTCCGGTACCACAAGGGAACCAACATCTGTATGCCTGAAGGGATCTCTACCAACTCCCTCACCAAGGCCTGAATCGCGACATTGCACTCGACTCCCTTCCAAAAAGATCCATGAAAGATAACCGCTGCCCCGATGGCATCCCTTACACTTCTGATCCGTCAATTTCAGAGGGCATTCAAATTCGAAAAGTCGGTGTGTCACAAGCATGGGATAGCCCGCGTTTTTAAAATCACAACGGGCCCTGTCACCGCAATCCCCCAATCCGTCAATACGCGATGACACAATCGACGCGACCGACGCGACCGACACAACTGACACAACTGATGCAACCGACGAAGGATGCAAGGTGATAATGGAGGCTGCAGGACGCGACTGCATAGATGTGTGAGGTGACGTTTCGGGCCAGGTGTCTGTGGTGTCGCGACTTGCCTGCAGTCATTATGGAGTGGCTACCAGTGGGAAGACAGATGCCGACGACGCCGCTGCCCGAGCGTCGCTCCGACATCCTCACACGATGTGCCCCGGCCGACCGCACCTGAAGCAAGGAATAGCAGGCCCTTGCTGTGGAGTGGTCACCTCCGCCCCCAACCTTGAGGCGATCTCGAAGTCTCCCCCCGGCGTCGAGCCTACCCATGTACCGCCGCTGTCACCTCCCCCAGCTCGGTCCCCCCTCTGTTGGCGTCCCCGCACTCCCCATTGAACGGACCATGCCATCACACGAGGCTGCCGGTTCATCCCCTCATTCACCTGCAGGCATCGGGCCACCCACAGGGAAGTCTTCGCCTCCTCCACAATTGGCAGCACGACTCCCATCTCCTGCACCAGCATTTTCTCCATTGCCAGAGAATCCAGTGCCATCTCGTTCAGCCGTGAGTACGCTTGCCTGGCCCAGTGCGATCATTGCACTGCGATAAGTTAGGGGCCTCTCGGCCTCCCCTAGCTTCCGCTGCAGGAACTTCCTCCGTGTATTTGATCGGGAATCGAGCATGGCCGCCATTTCACCATACGCCTTTTGTAGCGTAGCCCTTCGCTCCTCCTGTATAGATCAGAACACTGCGAGGGCATCGTCGTCAAGAGCAGTAGACAGGGCTCTCAGCGCTTTCTTCTCCGACCATCCAATGGCTTGTTACCCTGCCGCGAACCTTCGGGTGAAGGCGCCCCAGTCGCCTCACGCTGCTACAAATTATTTTACAGGCGTCATCCACCCCAGCCGGTCATTCGCTCTTTTCTTCTCTGCGCAGCTGCGGAAAGCTGCATGGTGAGCTGCAAGACCCCTGCTAACAGCTGGTCCAGCCGTCCCATTACCTCGTCTCATTCCTCGATTATTTGTTCCTGTCGGCCGGCCCCCTCTCTCGTCCTTACCACCGCCACTCTCTCTTCACCGGTGGGGTTATTCCCTGGGTTCCCGCCACCCGGGGCAGCAGGGAGATTTGCTCCCCGTCCAAAGTCGTCATCATCCTTGCTGCTATGCTGTGGCATGATGACACCCGACTTCTGACACGAGTTATAATGACGACTTGACACACGTCTCTTCAGATGGCACTTTTTTGAAGACACAATCACTTGACATTAGGCTGAGATCCCATTGCAACAGCCCCGAGTCTCCCGCGCATCTCCCTTATATATCAACCAAGGCTACGCCCCCCTTCTCGATCATTCTCGATGACTCTGGATGCTCTCTCTACAGGCAGACTCCATCATCTTCTTCCGTGACCTGACCACGATCCCTTCTCGAACATTGCCGTAGCCAGCAGTCGCTTCGCACTCACAACTGATACCCCTGTCATTACTTCCCATGGCCACTAGTGCCTTCGTACTGTAGGCTCACTTCCCTGTCATTACCTCCCGTGGCCACTAGTCTCCTCACACCGCATGCAGGCTCTATTGTCATGCGTGAACACATACACACAGGGATGCAAAATATCACACCTTGATCCATGCTTGATCCATGCTCTCACACATACACCACACGCGACCGCCTTTTTCTCCCTTGAACATCACCAAAACCAAGGTTCTGCACCAACTCAGAGCAAGCTGCAGCAGCAGCCATCTGCTCGATCCCTAATTTCCCTCTTCCATACCTTACCTCGCCTACCTCGCGCTCCTTCTCTCTTCCCCTTCTTCCCGTCCATCACTATAATTTATTTTAGTTTTTTTATTGGCGATGTCTTTTTTGTTGTAGGCGCCGCTTCCTGACCACGTCCCCTGCCTGCTCCCACCCCCATTGGGCGTCCTAACAGCAGCCTGGCTGCCAGCGGTTCCCCGCTGGGCAGCACCATCACCAGAGCTGCGTGGCTTCCTCTCCGCGTCCTCTTGGTGGCCCGGCTGCCGGCGGTCGCCTGCCGAGCCACGCCGGCGCCGTGCAAATTCCTCGCCATCCCACGTGGCCGGATCGGAGGTCGAGCTCCTGCCCCCGGGGGAGTCTTGACCATGTCAGCACACCGGGCACAGAGGGAAGATTCGTGTACATGACAAGCGAACTGGGCTGAGGCTGTGGCTTCTACCTCGTCGTGGGCCTGGCCGGAACTGCGCTGCTGCACTGCACAGACGTTGTGGACGTCGTTGGCGGTGCGGTGAACTCGACTGCGGTGGCCCCCTTCTCCCTCCAGGCTCCAGCCCATCGCCCACCCCCCTTTGTCTTCTCAATAACAATGCCTCATTATTTTTTCAGCCACCCTAGCTTTCATGCACCCCCCAGCTACGACCAGGCCTATCAAAATCCCTCCTTATCCATCCCTCTTTTTTTCTGTCATCAACAGTACAACAGTACTTTAAAATAACCCAATTCTTCATTTCATTCATTATGCTGTATACAATTTTATAATTGCTGTAAAGCGCATTCGTAAAGGTGCTTTTTAAATGTCATTAAGATAAGAACCGTGATTGCAACAGCCAAACATCCCCCAACTATCTATTTTTATTGAGATGCCCTTGAATATGTGGAGTATTTCCCTCTTGACACCTTATCTTATCCATCCTGCTGTATGTGAGCGTGTGCCAGCGTTATTGTTAAATGCTTTCATGAATCGTGAGTTAAGTTTGTCTCCTTTGAGCAGGGGATGTACTGTAAGGTAGAAGTGACAGATGTCTCGAGGTACACCACAATCCGCTGTCGCTAAAATTAACCACATATAAGCATTTCCTGCTTTTACCGTGGTATTGTATCATCAATGTAACGTGTTACTGATCCTACATGTTTCAGTGGTCAGGACGATGCTGATGATTATGGACACGGATTGAATGATACAATTTGGAAAATGACAAAACTGATTGTCTAACATTTTCTTAATCAAAGTCCACACCTTAGAGATGAGTTGTGCAACCAAATCACTCGAAATTGTGCGATTTAGTAACCTGCAGCTATTTTGTCAATATCTGTGCGAGTAGTTGCACAACAAAAGACAAGTCTCACTGACTAAAATGTTTGCCCCCTGCTCTGGTTACCACGACTCCTCACCTGCATCTGGATTGTAACTGTTTATCACAATTCAGTTCTGTGCAGCGCGTGATTATGCGATACGTTGCTATGATTCGCTAAGGAGATCGATGCTTGAAAGTAGTCTCGTTACACTGTGAGCAACCTGTTGCAGAGACGTCCATGTAGAAGCGATTCAGTTGCATACATTCAAGTTGCCAAGTTGCACGCAAATGATTGCTCGGGTGTCGACACAACTTAGCTTATGTCAAGTTGTGTTTTTTTCACATATCACAGTTCATACCGATTTGGATAGTTGGCTATGTACGGTGCGAAACAAGTTCAACACACGTACGTTAATACTTGATCCCGTATCCTAACCACAATGCAATGTGCTGTCCGTGTACAGCCCTTTTGTTAATCAACTGCGGGATGTCGGGGTTATTTTACCACATTTAAGGATCTAAAAATAGAACGGTTGTGTGGTACGGGTAATGATT